CCCGCCACAACGTCCGGCTATTTTTTGTTGCAGTTTGGCCGGGGCTGGGTTTGAACCCGCCACCCTCGGCATATGGGGCCGGCGCCCTACTCACTGAGCCATAGGCGCCTCCCTTGAGACAGGATCTTAATATACCCACACTGTGGATCTTGTTTTGTCACCTAAGCTGTAGTGCAGTGGCATGATCATAGCTCACTGTAAGCTCAACTCCTGGGCTCACATGATAACTCTCACCTTAGCCTCCCAAGTAACTAGGACAACAGGTGCATGCCACCATACCTAGCTAACTTTCAAAAATTTCTGTAGAGATGGGGGATCTCAGTATATTGCCCAGGCTGGTGAAATGAGAGATCCTCCCGCCTCACCCTCCCAAAGTGTTGGAATAATAGACGTGAGCTACTGCACCCTAGCCCATGTTATGATTAATTTGATGATACTTATAATTTTGTATCTTGCTTTTTTTCATGCAGGTAATAAACACTCTACTACATCTTTAAGTATTCTTCATAAATTTTTTTTTTGAGCAGAGTCTCAAGCTGTCACCCTGGGTAGAGTTTCGTGGCATCACAGCTCACAGCATCCTCCAACTCTTGGGCTCAAGCGATCCTCTTGCCTCAGTTTTTCTGTTTTTTTTTCAATTTTTAGTGGAGACAGGGTCTCACTTTTGCTCAGGCTGGTTTCAAACTCATGAGCTCAAGCAATCCACTTGCCTTGGCTTCCCAGAGTGCTGGGATGACAGGCATAAGCCACCACGTCTGACATAAATGTTATTTTTATAACATAAATGCTAACCGTAACTCTATTTAGATTTTATAGGATGGCTTACTTTAATTTACTTAGCCATTCTCCTATTGATAGATATTTAGATTGTTTCTATTTGTCTCCAATTATATAAATGACTGTAATTTTGTTGTCAAGTCTTTTGGGTACTGTCTTTATGGTTTAGTTCCCCAATTAGATTCAGAAGTAATAATATATATATATATATATATATATATATGTATATAGGACATGCTTGTTGGTACACTTTTTATGCTTAAGATTATTGCATGTACACAGAAGAGAGTCAAGCATGCTGCTAGATACTGGGTTGGGGGTCTAGTTTTTACCTGCAGAAATCTCCAAGGCTACCAGCACTGTCTCTTGGGAAGAGTTTGAGTGTGTTCATTTGAGGATAGTGACCATGAACCACCAGCAGTCTAGTTGCCCAAGTCTGGAAGATGAAGGTATTAAGCTATTTAGCGTGATAAGGTATAAACCAGGGGTCCTCAAACTTTTTAAACAGGGGGCCAGTTCGCTGTCCCTCAGACCATTGGAGGGCCAGACTGCAGGCCCCTGGACGAGTCGGCTGCTAAGCAGGACAGGCAGCGGCGGCAAAAACACCTGGCGGGCCAGATAAATGTCCTCGGCTGGCTGCATGTGGCCTGCAGGCCGTAGTTTGAGGACGCCTGCTATAAACTAACGCCTGCCTCCAATTAGAGTATTCAGATTCCAGGTCTGATTCCTTTCCCTTTCCTGTGCTTCAGTTCACCAGACCATTAGGTGCTGAGTGTTAAAAGAAGGTGAAGTTAGCTGCTAGGATCAGCTTGGTCAATTGAGAGTTCAGAAAACCCTTGGCAAGCATATGTCATTGACTTAGTCCCTAAGTCCTATCCAGGAGACATCTGTATAGAGGCAAATGTAAAACAGAGTCCTCTCTGAAAGTAACAGTTGCCATTCCTGCTTGTCAGTATCTATCTAGAAGCCTCAGTCCTTTAATTTAATGGATTTTATAGCATCATCTTTGCTAAAATCCAACACCTTTTCTGTTTTCCTGAAGTAAGAAGATGTAGCTCAATGATTCCTAATGTTCAGTGTTTAAAAAAAATTTAGATGAGGCACAGTTAGGGAGGCCAAGGCAGGAGGATTGCTTGAGGCCAGGAGTTTGAGACCAGCCTGGGCAATATAGTGAGACTCTGTCTCTAAAAAAATTAGCTGAGTGTGGTGGCTCACACCTATAGTCCTAGCTACTTAGGAGGGTGAGGCAGGAGGATCACTTGAGCCCAGGAGTTGGAGGTTGCAATAAGCTAGGATGAATGTGTGCTGCACTCTAGCCTGGGGTGACAGAGTGAGACCCTGTCTCTAAAAACAAACAAACAAAACCTTTGGCTGGGCTCGCTGGCTCAATCCTAGCACTCTGAGAGGCAGAGGTGGGTGGTTTGCTTGAGCTCAGTCAAGAGTTTAATACCAGCCTGAGCAAGATCGAGACCTCATCTCTACTAAAAATAGAAAAACTAGCTGGGCATTATGGTGGGCACTTGTAGTCTCAGCTACTTGGGAGGTTAAGGCAAGAGGATCTCTCTTTTTTTTTTAGAGACAGAGTCTCACTTTATCACCCTCAGTAGAGTGCTGTGGCATCACACCTCACAGCAACCTCCAACTCCTGGGCTTAGGTGATTCTCTTGCCTCAGCCTCCCAAGTAGCTGGGACTACAGGCAAGAGGATCTCTTGCCTGTGAGTTATGATGATACCATAGCACTCTACTCATGGTGGTCAAGTGAGACTTTATTTCAGAAAAAGAAATAAAAATTTAAAAAACCTTTAAAGACTTTTTTTTTTGAAAGCAGCCTTGAATCCTTGTTCACTGCCAATAGCAGGGTCCCACTTGTCTTACAGATGCTTCCATGTCATCTTACACCCTTGGGATGGCAGCACTTAAGTTATTTCTCTGTTGCAGAGATGGCTGAGCGATTCTATCACGTCACTGTGCTCCAGATACACTTCAGTGGTTGGCAAAGGGCCTGGGAGCAGAGAGAGAGCTTGTATGCCCACCATGCCCAGGTGGAGGATCTAGCCAGGAGGATGATGCTGCGGCGGGCCTTTATACACTGGAAACATTGTATCCTTTGCAGATAACCAGGCCTGTTCATCACCTCAGCCAGGCCAAAATACACTCAGCAGCATTTAAAAAAGAAGTCCTGGCTTGGTGCCTGTAGCACAGTGGTTACAGTGCCAACCACATACACGGAGGCTGGCGGGTTCAAACCCGGCCTAGGCCAACTAAAACAGCAATGACAACTGCAACAAAAAATAGCCAAGTATTATGGCCGATGCCTATAGTCCTAGCTACTTGGTAGGCTGAGGCAAGAGAATCACTTAAGCCCAAGAGTTGGAGGTTGCTGTGAGCTGTGACGCCATGGAACTCTATGAGGGTAACATAGTAAAACTCTGTCTCAAAAAAAAAAAAAAAGTCCTGAGATATGTAGGAAACAGTTACCAAACAATTTAAGACAGCTTTGTCTCTGAAACTTATTTTTAAAACATTTTTTAATTGAGACTATGGATTCAAAGGAATACTTTAATAATTATAGTATAATAGAATAATAGCCAGGCATGGGGGCTCACATCTATAATCCTAACACTCTGGGGAGGCTGAGTGTGGGAGGATCACTTGAGGTCAGGAGACCAGCCTAAGCAAGAGCAAGACCCCATCTCTACTAAAAATAGAAAAATTAGCTGAGCTTGTACTCAGGAGGCTGAGGCAGGAGTTGGAGGTTGCTATGAGTTACGATATTATACCACAGCACTCTAGCCCAGATGACACAGTGAGACTCTGTCTAAAAAAAAAAGAAAGAAAGGAGAATTCTGAATGAAAAGAGGGAGGCTAGCACAGGAGGATCAGTTGTGGGAGGAAGCAGCTCACTTATGCAGGGACGAGTCAGATGAACTACATGGTACTAGGGTGGAGATGGAAGAGCAGGATGGGAGTGAGAGGAGAGATTTAGGAGGCTAGCAGATGCACTGTCAGCTGAGATCAGCGTGGGAGGGGAAAAGGTTTGAAAATAACTCCAAGGTTTTTAGCTCAAACATCTGACTGATCTCCTTGCATAAAAAAGAGCAGGTTCTGTTTAGGATATAGTAATTTCTAAGTGTTTACTGAAATTGGTGGCAGTTTATCTCAGATATTTTTTTGCCTCTCACCAAATGGGAATCCAAGGGGAGGAATACAAGGCCAGTTGTTTGATAAGTAAACCAACATAGTTCCCTTTTGTCTGCTGGTTCCCTGGGTCATCTGGAGGAGATGGGGACCTAAACCCACCTGGAGAGCAGCCTCTTACCACCTAGCAGCCACGACCCTTCAGGTGGGTCACAGAGAGTACACCGTCTGAGAGCAGGAACCTTGTTGAGACTTGAAGCCTTAACTTCCTGGCAGACGTGCTGCTGTGTGCCGAAGAAGTTGCCCAGTGTATGATGGCAGAAGAGCACTATAGGCTCACCCTGCTGGTAAGACTCCCATGGGCTAGCAGAGCTCTGCTTGGCAGCCTATCTGAGGCATCCACTCTCGGGGGACCCTGACCCTAGCCTGCTTGTTAAGTGTTGCCATTTATGGGTTGTCTTCAGTCCTGAAGCCCTCCTCTCACTGTGGATGTCCCTGTTTTCATTTTGGATTGGAGATGGCAATGGTGTGGGTTCAGAGGGGTTTGGAGCTATAAAGAACCCATAGAAGCTGTATAGTTCTGGGCTTTTTTACATGGTGGAAACCCTTTTTGGTAGAAGCCTAATCTGTAAAATAGATGAAAGGTGGCACCCATAGCCCAGTGGGTAGGGCACTGGCCGATACACTGAGGGTGGTGGGTTCAAACCCAGCCTGGGCCAGCTAAAATCAACAATGACAACTGCAACAAAAAAAAACAACAGGCAGACAGGCCCCAGCTACTTGGGAGGCTGAGGCAAGAGAATCGCTTAAGCCCAAGAGTTTGAAGTTGCTGTGATGCCTCAGCCCTCAACTCTGTCTCAGAAAAAAAAAAAAAGTAGTGATGCTGTGGTTGAAGCGGGTCTGGGAGTCCCTGTTCTATCAGCTACTCTCTCCCTCCTTTGCCACATGAAGTAGGTCAGTGGTTCTCATGAACCGCTGTGGGTTGCAACCCCTTTGTAACAATGAAAATACATCCTATATATTAGATATTTACATTACAATTCATAAACAGTAGCAAAATTACAGTTATGAAGTAGCAATGAAAATAATTTCATGTTTGGGGGTCACCACAACATAAAGAAGTGTATTAAAGGGTCACATCATTTGGAGGCATTAGGAAGGTTGAGAACCACTGAAGTAGGTGCTCTTCAAACATTCTCAGGAGCCTGTGGGATTCCATAGAATACTAAGGGAAAACCCCTATTCCAGTCTAATCTCACTTCTGTTTTAGGAAACTGAAGCCCAAGGCATGGGGGAATGAGGGTAGGTGGGTTTTACTTAGGTCATATGTGAAGCGTTACTGATAGAGCTGGAGCCAGGCCTGAGTATGCTGCCCCTACCCCAGCCCCCTACTCACCAAGGACTCCTTCTATTCCTTTCTTGCAACACTGCATTTATAGTTGTACAAATGTATATAATGACTCCACAGGATAAAAAAAGAAAAGCAACATCATAGGCAAAAAAGTCTGTCTCTTTTTTGAGAGGCAACGAAGTTGATATTTGACCTCTGTAGAATTCTCATCTGGATCATGGAGGTCTCTCCTGGTCAAAGGTGAGGGTTTGTGTGTTCTTGTGTGGTATAGATAGACAGTAGGGAGTGGCTCAACAAATAATTAGTAAGCACCTGCTGTGTAGGTGGGCTCTTGTTAGGCTTTGGATTGAATTTCAAAAGAGAAACAGGCAAATGGAACAGCTGTGAGGAGCTCTGCTTGGGGCACTACTGGACTTCTGTACTCTTTTACAGACTTCACTGATTCTAGTCTTTGTAATCATTTCTGTCCTTTTCTTTTTTGTGCAGTGTTTTTGCTTTCGAGCCTTAAAACACAACGTGACCCATGCCCATATCCATCGAATAAAAAGGAATCTTGCTCACCAGCAACATGGAGTCATGGTGAGAGTCATCTTCTGTTATCAAGGGGCCTCTTTTATTGATGGTCATTCATTCTCTCTCTCTTGTTTTGTCTTGCTAAATGATATAGAAGTCTTTCTTTGGTGATCTTCTGCTCAGAGATTTTTCCAGATGTTAGACTCCAAAACCTTAGTTCTTGTGTTGGAGGTGTAATCCATATCTGCTGATAAAGAAACTCGTGGCTCGGCGCCTGTGGCTCAAGTGGCTAAGGCGCCAGCTACATACACCTGAGCTGGTGGGTTGGATGGAATCCAGCCTGGGCCTGCCAAACAATAACGGCTACAACCAAAAAATAGCCAGGTGTTGTGGTAGGTGCCTGTGGTCCCAGCTACTTGGGAGGCGGAGGCAGGAGACTCGCTTGAGCCCAGGAGTTAGAAGTTGCTGTGAGCTGTGATGCCACGGCACTGTGCCCAGGGTGACAGCTTGAGGCTCTGTCTCAAAAAAAAGAAACTCTTATTTTTTGTTTTGTTTAATCCCAGTTTTTATGTTTGCTAAGAAAATGGATAGTTGACTCCGAGGTCAGGGACTGTGGATTTTAACCCTGATATAGGGGATGTAGTGATAAAAATACACTTTTCAGTCTTGCCCTTTGGAGGCTTTGGTTGTGTTTCCATCCTAAGTATATCACTTTGGTGGTTTGTTTATCTGAGGTCAACAAATGTCATTTCTTCTTGTCAATTTTGTTTCTGAGTGTAGAAAGATGAAGGTTTTTGCTATTATGAAAATGTTCAAATATGTAGGGAAAAAGTAATTTATATACTTACTACTTAGATTCAACACTTGTTGTTATATTTGCTACATTCACTTTTTTTTGCTGAATCATTTTGAAGTAAATTATAGATACCATGGCACTTTGTACCTAAGCATTTCAGCATGCATTATCCAAAGATAAGGACTTTTGTCATGTAACCACAATGTCATTATCATCCATAACAAAAGTAACAGTAATTCTCTAACATTCTCCAATACCTAGTCTACATTCAAATTCCCACAGTTGTCCAAAAAATGTCTTTATAGCTACTTTTTTCAAAGCAGGATTCACTTAAGCATCATTTTTTCCAGAAGTGGAAAGGAAAAAAAAAAGCAAAGGAAAAAACTCAAAGGATCACTAACTACATTTGATCCATTATGTATTTTTTTTTTTTTTTTTTTTAGAGATAGAGTCCTACTTTATTGCCCTCAGTAGAGTGCAGTGGCATCACAGCTCACAGCAACCTCCAGCTCCTGGAGAACTGCCTCAGCCTCCCAAGTAGCTGTCATTGTAGTTTGGTGGACCCAGGCTGGATTCAAACCCGTCAGCTCTGGTGTATATAGCTGGCACCCTAGCCATTTGAACTACAGGCGCTGAGCCAATTATGTCTTTTAAAGCTCTTAATTCAGGCTGGGCGCAGTTGCTCATTCTGTAATCCTCTCACTCTGGGAGGCCGAGGCCAGTGGATTGCTTGAGCTCAGGAGTTTGAGACCAGCCTGAGCAAGAGCAAGAGCAAGACCCCCTCTCTAAAAATAGCCAGGCATTGTGGCAGGCACCTATAGTCCCAGCTACTGCGGAGACTGAGGCAAGAGAATCGCTTAAGCCCAACCTGTAGGTTGCGATCCCTTTGGGGGTCAAACAACTCTTTCACAGGGGTCGCCTAAATACATCCTGCATATCAGATATTTACATTATGATTCATAACAGTAGCAAAATTACAATAATGAAGTAGCAACGAAAATAATTTTATGGTTGGAGGTCACTACAACATGAGGAACTGTATT